TTTATATATATATTTATATATATATATATATATATATATATATATATATATATATATATATATATATATATATATATATATATATATATATATATATATATATATATATATATATATATATATGAGATCTAACAGACAGTAATGCCAAGTAATGTACAGGGGAAGTTATTAGAACCAATGGAATGTAGATAAGACGGAAGAAAAGTGGATGAAAATATAACCAGCCGTGAGCAGGAAACGAACCTACGACCTTCGAATAACGCGTTCGATGCTCTAACCACTGAGCTACCACAGCGGCCTTCCCTCCATCCTATTTTTTGGGTTTATATGTGAATTTAGAAGTAGGAGTGACAGCCAGCGCCATCTATAAGCCAAGCGACGAGTGTGAAAACACTCTTTTATGCGCATGTTTGGCGTCACGTAGCACGTGAACGTATTATGAGCGGGCAGCTGATTAATTGTCCCTCGTATACAACCGAATGACACCAAGTCTGCCAGTACGAGATCCTCGTTTTAATGAAATAAGGGAAAGAAGTGTTTACCTAAGGGCTCGTTTTTCTGTGTTTTAACCCAATATTAATGAGATCTAACAGACAGTAATGCCAAGTAATGTACAGGAGAAGTTATTAAAACCAATAGATTGTAAATAAGAAGAAATAAAAGTGGATGGAAAAATAACCAGCCGTTATTCCTGCTCACGGCTGGTTATTTTTTCCTTCACTTTTCTTTCTTCTTATTTACATTCCATTGGTTTTAATAACTTCTCCTGTACATTACTTGGCATTACTGTCTGTTAGATCTCATCAATATTGTGCTAAAACATGGAAAACGAGCCCTTAGGTATACGCTTTTTCCCTTATATATATATATATATATATATATATATATATATATATATATATATATATATATATATATATATATATATATATATATATATATATATATATATATATATATATATATATATATATATATATATATATAAGTCAAGTAGATCCTCCAAGAGAACGGTAACAACGGAAGTGTTTACCGTTCTTAAACACTTTAAACACCGTTCTTAAACACTTTTAAATTAAACACTTCCGTTGTTACCGTTCTCTTGGAGGATCTACTTGACTTATTGCAACGCTACGGCCATTTTCGCCACCATGCCTGCCTATATATATATATATATATATATCGAATCCTGCCTACCTATACTATCCTTGACATTATTGCCTGTTAGATCTCATATATATATATATATATATATATATATATATATATATATATATATAGGCAGGCATGGTGGTTGAGTGGCCGTGGCGTTGCAAGTAGTCAAGTAGATCCTCCGTTAGCGGTCACAACGTGGTTTATTTCGATGTTGCGGCCTAGAGTCTGGCCTTCATCAGGATTGAGGGTACAGTTTGTTGGTGCTCAACTTTATACAATCTTGAATCAGAGGGGGAGAGAAAGAAAGAGAAAAAAACGAAAGTAAGAAAAAAGAAAAAAAGAAGAATATAAGGTGGACTCCCCCGGGTGCCCTCTTTCACTCTTCCTTCCCCTTCCCCCTCCATCTCTTTACCTTTTCTTCTTTTCACCTTTACGATGTCTGCTCTCTGTGTATCCTTCCTTTCACTAACGCATTGTTCCCGACCAGACGGCGCCTCCTGGCTCTGGCGGTTCAGTATGCTCTGCCGGTTCAGGTATTCAGCTTGTACATGAAAAATTTTGATACAATATGGAGGAAGCGAAGCAGAAAGTTGACTGGCAAATACTTAGAAAACAGCATGGGGCCAAACCAAAAAGTATGTTTGGTTAAAAAAAAGGTGAAGGAAGCTGAGACTGATATGTGGAGAATTGTCATGATTAAGAAGCCAGCACTAGAGATCTACCAATCTTTTAAGCAGGAAATTGCCAAGGAAAGGATCTATGATAATACACGGGGTAGTGCTCTACTGTTAGAGGCCAGGACGGGAGTATTTCGAACCAAGACTTATCGGGCCAAATACGAAGGGGTAGACACGGTATGCAGTGCATGTGGAGAGGAAGAGGAAACTGTCGAACACTTGATAATGTGTTCTGTAAAGGACTTCGCCCTATCGTTCAGGATGATGGCGCAGAGTTTTTCAAAGCACTGGGGTTCGAACAGGGAGGGCAAAAAAAAGACTTGAAGCGGGTGGAATTGACAAGAAAGAGGTTATCTGATTGGTGGCTAAAGTCATGGCACAAGTTAAATTTAAACCCTTCACTGCAAAGTACGAGTCCTCAACCTCACTACTTAAAGGAAAAAATAAATAAATCTAGTGTTTGGTTCACTAAGTATTACGGCTTGGGGGCGTTAGCCACCGCCCGATCTAAAGGGTACAGCCATATCAATCCATCCATCCATCCATCGTTAGGTTTGGGGGAAAAAGAGCTTTTTTTAGAAAGTTTAAGTCTTTAACTACTCAGCGCCCCGTCGACATCTCGTCGTATAGAAAGAGGGGCGCCGCGTATTGCCGCAAAGGCTGGCAAGCGGATGCAATGGCAAGTCTTGCCCGCTGCTGGATTACGCGTGCAGTAGGGTCCTCCCGACTGTGCACAGGGTTGCTGTTGGGCATGTCATGTTTGGCACAATTGATTGGATAGTCAGGTAAAAACAGAAACAGACGACAGCTGTACTTAGGAAGAGTAGTTACACTTGGAATTATTTTGAGTGGTCCAGTGCCCTTCGCAGCTGCAGTGCCGTGCAGTCATCAATTTTCTCATTATTGCCGTTATTGTTTTCTAATGCTTTAATTGCTGCGAGTGTACCCAGATTCTCAATTATTCCTGTATTGAGGGTGTTAAATCGGTGGATAAGGTTTGACTCTCGTTGTTCACGTTCTCGGTTTGATTTAAATCCCGTCTCTAAAGAGCGTTACTGATAGTTTGTCGAATGCATGGTCGGGAAGATTGAGATGTTTTGACAGGAGTCAATTTGGGGCTGATTTTCCATGGGCTCTGTAATTATTGAAGCGAATTCTCAATGGCATTTCTGTTCGTCCAATGTACTGCTTACTGCACACGTTGCATTCGAGTAGGTATATCACATTAGAGGAATCGCATGTAAGGTTTCCTCGTATGTTATTCAAAAACTTGGATTGTGTGCAGGTTGCTTTGTGTGTTTTTCGCATCGCCTTACATACAAGACATCGTGGCTTTAAACAAGGTCGGCATGAATTATTGGGGGGGGTGATGTATTAATTAGACAGTGGACAAGTGCGTCTTTGAGGTTGCGTGGTCGTCAGTAAACGACGCCAGGAGCGGATGGGAGTGCGCGTTTCAGACGTTCACTTTGTTCCAGAATGCTGTAATGTCGTTTAAGGATTTTGTTTACATAGGGGAAATTTGTACTGCAAGTTAAGCACAGGTTTGTTCGTTGTGAGTCTTGTTGCGGTGGTCACTGTATAACATTGGTTTCAAGGAACTTTGTTCAAGAAACTGCGATTTTAGCTTTCCTATAAAAATGTTGGCATAAATGGGTCCCATTTTGGTGCCCATAGCGGTCCCTTTGATTTGTCGAAAATACTCTTGCTTAAATTTGAATGAATTTATTTCGAGGACCATCCTCGTCAAAGTTGCGATGGCAGAGAAATCTGGGGTGTTAGATTGTCTATGGTCAGTGTACATGTTTTGTAATGCAGCTATGCCGTCATCGTGAGAAATATTTGTATACAATGAAGAGACATGAAGAGTAACCAAGTACGAGATTTTCGGCACACACAGACCTGCAATGTGTCGAAGAAAATGTGTGGTGTCTTTTATGTACGACGTGAGGGTGCATGGAATGTGGTTTATTAGTTTGTCCACGTACCCTGATATGGGTTTGGTTATTGTATTGAAGCCTGATACGATTGGTCGACCTGGGTTACGTGGTTTATGAATTTTTTCAAGGACGTAGAAGCGACCTGGACGAGGGTATGCTGCTCTCATCAGTTTGCGAACAGCAGCCCTGTGCACAGTCGTGAGGCCCCTACTGCACGCGTGATCCAGAAGCGGGCAAGAATTGCCATTGCACCCGCTTGCCAGCCTCTGCGGCAATACGCAGCGCCCCTCTTTCTACGACAAGATGTCGACGGGCGCTGAGTAGTTAAATGCTTAAACTTCTTAAAAATCTTTTTCGGTCCCCCCCACCAAACCGCCAGAGCCAAACTGCGCCATCTGGTCGGGAACAATGCGTTAGTGAAAGGAAGAATACACAGACCCCAGACATTCTAAAGATGAAAAGGAGAAGAGAGAGAGAGATGGAGAGGGAAGAAGAGTGAAACGGGGCACCCGGGGCAGTCCACCTTAACTTCTCCTTTTTTCCTTTTTTCTTTTTCTCTTTTTTTTCTTCTTTTTTTCTTCCGTGTTTTTCCTCTATTTCTCTCGCCTGCTCTGATTCAAGATTAAGTACAGCTGAGCACCAAGAAACTGTACCCTCATTCTTGATGAAGGCCAAACTCCAGGCCAAAACGTCGAAATAAACCACGTTGTGATCGCTAACGGAGGATCTACTGGAATATATATATATATATATAAATATATATATATATATATATATATATATATATATATATATGTATATATATATATGTATATATATATATATATAAATATATATATATATATATATATATATATATATATATATATATATATATATATATATATATATATATTATAACTAATCGTATTATGCTGTAAATAAATATCTATGTACCTTCAAGATAGTGACGCTCTGTTTCAGCGTGAATAAAGTAAAATATCGCGCCGCAAAAATAGCACAAGGTTATTTTTGGTTATGTTCATGTTGAACAAACAAAAACTGTACTTTTCACGTGGTATCTTACGCTAGTTTTTGAACGTTAAACTACACATAATATTATTATTCTTTTTTTTTTCACGTGGTTCGCAAAAAGTACCGTGCCGAAAGACTTGTCGAAATTGGTAGCGTCTTGAGTTCAGAAAAGTGAGCATACACTGAAAAACGAAGTTAAATGAAGGCGAACTTATTATGTAGGAGATTTATTTCATCCATAGTACGATATATCTTGCTCTTTTTTAGCGTCTAGTTTATACAAACAGGAAGAACTAGTGGTGTACCCAATTGTGTACATAGCGTGTCAAAATGTTAGTGTTATGGGTTTGTTCACCTCGAAAGCCGTGCATCTCGAGAATTTGTTTCATATGGTGCGCTCCTTCAATGACGGAGAGAACGCTTAGATAGAGACTTTGCGTGGGTAGCCTGAAGGCTAAGTGGTGGTTAGGGCCTGGCGCTTCATTGCATGCGTGTTCGTTTCAAGTCAATTATTTTACAAATGCTGTTTTACGTTCCCAAACCATGATATGAATAAAGACGGCGTAGTAGAGGGCTCCGGAAATTCGGGCCATCTGGTATTTTCAACGTACACTGACATCACACCTGTATATGAGCCTCTACCTCTTCACCTCCATCAAAATGCGACTACCACTCCCGAGATCGAACATGAAACCTTTGGATCAGCATCCGAGCACTATATAGCCACTGATGCACCGAGGCGGACTTTCCATATCGATGAGTTGAAGGTTTCAAGTCATCGAAGTATTATGAAGAATGAATGAAAGAGGTGAACAATGCTTTAGGTTGATGAAGACATGTGTATTTCGAGGATGAATGGCACGCAAGTGACAATACGCAGACGTTTATCCGCGGTGGCGTCCTCCTAAGGGGATCTTGACGCCGACTCCCACTTGACCCTGGCCGTGGCTGCCAGTGGCTGGGTGCCTCTGGTGGGAACCCTCTCCCCAGATGGAGATGGTGGGTCCACGGTTGGGTCGGTAAATATCGTGGTGGATGCTGCCGCTCACGCTATGCTGGGACCCGGAGCCGCCTCCTTGCACATCGATCCGAGTCTGCGCAATATACGAGAATGCAGTCATTGCGGATGGAAGCACCGCTCCGCTATTTTTGCTTGTCCCTTTATGAACTTCACAAGAACGCAAAGCACTGTCCGAGAAAACTATGCACAATCATTCTGTATGCCTACTTCAGCCATGATGATGACGACGGCTAGTCGTAATGGCAAATGAAAGCTGAAGGCAATAGCTGCTGTGTGTTGCATATAAATGCCGGTATTGTGTACGAACGGACAGCCTTTTTAGCCGTACGGCAGCGTGTTCTCGCTGAAGCACGAGCGTGAGGCCATTATTTCTAAGTAACCGCTAAGTATTTGAAGACATGAAAAATGCTGGAAGACAAGGTGTCGCTAGAGCTAACATTTCGGCAAGCGGTCTCTTGTAGAAGCAGTTTTGAGGATGCTGCTGCATTAAAGAGTACAAGGCTACCTGTCCAAAGGGTGGTTACAACAACATCGTGTGTTCAAGGAAGTTTCATCTCCTCAAGCTTTATGTTGCTTTGAACTTCTGTTTCGTTTGCGAAGTGTTTGCGCATATTCAAGGTGTGGAGTACCAACGAAGCACTGTTAGTTTAGAAATAGATGGCGGGAAGGATGAGGAGGAAGAGCTGAAGCAAACACTTCAGTGGTACTTCAGGCAGAAAAATATTGACAAATGTGGGCCGAACTGCTCATTGCGTACCCTTGGTGGTTGTGGAGCTTTGGGCAGGTCGATGCGTTGTGGTGGTACTCTAATCGTGTCAGGCCTCTGTAACAAAAAAAAAGCATGTCAGGTTGTTTGTCTTAGCCCCACAGCCCCATAATCATGTGAGCAGAAGAGGTAAAGGCATGGCTTTACTTTACACAATTTGTTCAGAATCAAAGAACCAACACATCCGAAATAAGACTAGCAGCACTCCTAATTGAAGTGGAAGTCACCAAAAAAGTACATTGTCGGTCACATTGTTTCAAGGTGTCATGCAGGGCCTTTCTCGCTGAATTATAAGAATATTTAGGCCAATATTCATATGTGTACATTCGCTACCACGCTACTGATCAATTTTTATTTATGTTAAGTAACGCTTTATATTTTTCTAGATGTGCAAAATTTATGTGAGAAAGGTTGCTTACGTGTTGTGCGTTGATGAGGACAACCACTGAAAAGAAGAGAAAAAAATGTATACTGTTTAACAGAGTGTTTTAAAATACGTGGTTCAAGGCATCATGCACATGTCTGCATATCTGTCCAGTTATCACGAGAAGACAATTATATGTTCACGCACGCTTATATGTCTCGGTTAACTGACCTTCCAGCATTTTGTTTTCAGGGTGCCTGCCATGGTGGCTACGCAGTTAAGGTGCTGCTAAAGAACGCTGGTTCGATTTCCTACGCCACTGTAGCTGCTTTTGCTGGGGGCAAAGTGCGAAAAACGCCGATGTAGTTGCTGCGTTATTCATTATTGACTCGCTCTTTCAGCAAGTAAAATCCAATAGTTTATTATTTTAGAGGTTGTCAAAACACTGCATGGCGAAATTCACGCGAAGTACACTTCCTTACAAAAGAAAACGAGGCATATGAGGAAAAACAAACAAACAAATATCCTGCCATTTCACTCATGCTTCACGAAGAGAAAAAAGTTGGCGTTTCTATAATAGTCTATCGAATAGGATTACTGAATATTGATATTGCACAAATACGTAAAAATCAATTAGGAGCGCGCTTTCCTAAATACCACAAGCGTAATCGCTTGAATCGCGTACGCAAACGAACGGGTTATGCTTCGGAAGTTTGTGAATACAGGTGGCTGACGACATCGAAGTTTTCTCTCACCCGACAAGATGAGCAAGCAGAGCAGGACAATTCTCGAAGACATGGCGCTGTCTGGAATTGAGCTAGCACTGGTGGCACCCTCTGCTGTTTCAGCAAAAGAAAGTCAGACACGGGCTCTACTCAGCCGCCGTGGCTTATAAGAGCCCCACGAGGCCGGGATGAAACGAGAGTGAGCGCGATCGGCCCGCGCTATCTGTTAGAACCTTGCACGCTGCGGGTATTTCCTGGACGGCACGTGTTGCACAGTATGAGCGGACGCAAATCGGCGAAGGCAGCCAGGAAAGACCCTCGCCCTTTCCGCCTTTCAGTCCACGTTACGTTGAACGCACTGAAATCCTTCTCGTGTATCGCACGATGTTGGCCACATGGTGAAACGACATTCTCAATATACCAGTGGACAGCGCGTTTCGTTACTACTATTTATTCACCGCACATTGTTTCTACTAGCCAATCCCAGCGACTGCTTTTCGACGTACTAACCATCATAATTGCAGTGCTTCAACATCCCAAAATCACTACATCAGACGCCGTCTTGGAGGCCTCCGGAAATTTCGACCACCTAGTGTTTTTTAACATGCACCTAAATTTACGCAAAGCATGGGCCTCCAGCGCTCCCGTCTCCATTAAAAAAGCACCCACCGTGGGCGGGATTCAATCCCGTGACCTGCGGGTCAGCAGCCGAATACCTCATTCTCTAGGCGACCACAGCGAATGACGTACTAACTATCTTGCGTAAAACAAGGAAATGGTCTTCAAGATGAGGTCGAGTGTATTACACTAATTTTCCCTCGATGTCTTGCGTTACTAAATTGTTTTGCGCGATGCCTTTATTATGTAAGACCAAATATAGTCACACCCGATTTTCCTTTTTGATTTTTCTCGACGCAGTTACTTATGGTACTTGAATATCTTTAGGAGCCTTACTTTAACGTGAAGTGAATGGAACGTGTATTTATATATACAAGTCTCCTTATAATACTAAAGTATATTCAAAATACTGAGCTTCTCCTCCCATCCCTGAGCCACAGCCTCTGAGACGCATGTGTCACATATACTGAAAGGCCACAGTCCATAGCACTGGAGTAATCTCAATCAATAAAAAATTTAATTACTTCGATAGCATTTCAGCTCCACGAACGCTTCGCATCAGTCGCAGTATCCAATAATCAGCAGAAACCAACTTCGGTGTGTATATTTATTTCTTTATTCTTATAAATGTTTTATATAGTTTTATTCATTCATTAATTTCAGTTTTATTGCTCTATTTTAGATTCCATGATATGGTCAGAAAAAATTCGACAAGCCGTGAGTGTTCTTACGTTTTTCTAAGGCATCAGCATGCCTTCTCGCGCGTTTAAAATTCAACAACACAAACAATTCCACAGATATGGTGTAGACAATCTACGTGTTACGCTATTGATGAAGCATTGTTCTTGAATAAGCACTGAAAACAAAAAAAACTAATGTCATTTTAGTAGACTATATATTTCAGACCTCATATTAGTAGCTGCATACCGTCTTATGACGAATGTAATCAGAGCTGGTACTGAGTCATCCATGCCTGCGAGCACTATGTGTAACACGTTCCCGTACTTATTTTGCCAGGTTTTTCCAAAAACGCCATCTGATTGCTTGAGCCTGTGAAAGAACGTCTAAATGATATTATTAGGTGTTGGAGTTTTACATCCCAAAACCACAATATGCGGGCACAACGTATGAAAGACGTCGTAGTTGAGGGCTCCGGAACTTTCTGTCATCTGTCGTTCTTTAACGTACACCTGAATCTAGGCAGGTGCGTGGGGAGAAATGTTTTCTCGGAAAAGAGAGAGGAGGTTACCTTCATGACCTGAAGGGGGGGGTTGAGCACAAAAATGGTCAGTTCGCACTATGTATAAGCCATAGCGAAAAACAATTTCAGGGTGAAGGGGGACGGTGCGCCATACCCAGGCAACGCCACTGATGGTTATAGGTACATGGGCCTCGATCATCTCGCCTGTATCGGAATGTGTCCGTCACGGCTGGGATTCGTTCTCACGACCTCGGGGATGAGCCATCGAGCACTGTAACCACTAGACTACTGTAACGGCAACGTTTTTTTTTATTCTTTTTTATAGGCACCGTTGACTAGTTAGCGCATAAAAATTGAGTTTTGTGCGTTTCTGTCACGCAACCTCGTGAGTTTGAATTTGTTCGGGTATCCGTCACAAGCCGTATACAAGACTGTGGAATTGAAAAGTGGCAGAGCCGTTCCCGTGTTGACAGAATGGTGACCGCACACTGATATTAAACTATCGATTCATTCATATAATACCCTTTATCAGTAAACATTCACAGAATAGCTCGAAATTAGTTTGACGAAATATCTCAACAAAATTCAGATTGTATCGCTTTCCTAATTTGCTTTTCGCGAAGCATATTCTACTGACCTCTCTTTGTCATCTTCAACTGAAAAGCTGAATAAAGAAATTTGTGGGGGCTGCTACGCAGGTTCCGTTTTTATAGAATTGACTAAAGCATTCGACACTATCAACCATCACATTTTTTATGATGCTTCAAGCGATAGGCGTGACTGGTCCTGCATTACTCAATAGAAGACATGTTGCCATTGTGTTAGGTTATAAATTTATATCTGAAGTAGCAAATAGAGTACCTCAAGGTTCCATTGTTGGCCCAATTCTTTTACTAGAAGAAATGATTTGCTGGCCCTTATGTCTTACCAATTCAGTATGCTTATCGCATGCAGACGACAGAACAATTATTAACTTTGATAAATTTCTCCATTCTTCGACACAGAAATTAAGTCATCAAAGTTTGGCTGCTTGGTGTCCCTATAATGAATTACAAGTCAATCCCACTGAACTGAAATTTGTAGTTTTCACTCTCACCTACGTTAACATAATGATATCCCGCCATATTTTTGAATTATTGAGGCAGATGATGAGGTGATCTTCTTGTGAATTACCCTCCATCACTTCAAATTTCATTCACATGTTGCACAAATGCGAAAAAGTGGCTTACAGCATATATGCTTAATAACATCTCGAGATATATTTCCCAGTGTACAATACTTTCTTTCACTGCGTTTTTATTCATCCTCATAGTATTTACTGTATCACATCTTAGAGCGATATCTACTGCAGTCATCTCGTTTTCCTTGAGACTATGCAAAAGTATCCATTAAAACACTCACCCGCAGTCAATATTGCAGTAAAGCTAATGCAATTTTGCATGCCTACATCTAAATGGTCGACAACACTTTTAAATATAATCTAAGAATACTTGTTTTCAAGTGATTATAAATTCATCTTCTTTAGTTTGTAATCCCTCCATGAAGTTTTGATAACACAAACTCGACAAGGCTTGAACACAATCGAAATTGCTATTTACCAATCGTTCGTACAAACTATGGCAAACAAGCATCCCACTTGACTGGTAGACGAAGAAAGTGCTTAATAGCGCAAACGACGGGAGGAAATAGAAAAATTGATAACAGAGCGGCGATCAATCTTCTCCTGTCGTTTGCGCACTTTTTTCGTCTACCGTGCAGCACCAACCAGCCCAATCAAGCACTTTGTTAAAGTTCACCTTGACTGGAATTAGTCTCTGGAATACCCTACCTTCAGAAATGAAAACCTCGCAATCAATCGACATTTAAAAAAACGATTTCATGATTTTTCTCGCATCCATTTCATAACCGGGATAGGTTTTGTCACCTCAACTACTGCTGTTCTCTTTCATGCCTTTTCACAACGTACTGTTGACGAAGCATCGCATCATCAACGTACATTGCAGAAATTAGGTGCCACTAGTATGTTGTCACTTTCCTATTTCATTTTTTACTATCTTTTGTATTTTTACTATCTTTATCTAAAAAGTTTGTAGCAGAAATGAATTACCTTCATGTTTATGTTGCCAAAATTTTCAGTTTCTATTACTGCTTTCTGCCATTCTTTTTTCTGAAATAGAACTCTCTTTTGTCTAAGATGTATTTTACTGCTGAAGGAGGTCCTGATTCAGTCTCTGACTGTAGGACCTTCTTCTGTATACACAAACTTTGTCATGATTCGATGACTAAATAAGACCACTTTGCCCCGCCGCGCTGGTCTAATGGCTAAGGTTCTCGGCTGCTTACCCGCAGGTCCCGGGATCGAATTTCGGCTGCGGCGGCTGCATTTACGATGGAGGCAGAAATGTTGTAGGCCTGTGTGCTCAGATTCGGGTGCACGGTAAACAACCCCAAGTAGTAAAAATTTCCGGATCCCTCCACTACGGCGTCTCATAATCATATGATGGTTTTGGGACATTAAACCCCGCATATCAATCATCAAATAAAACCTCTTCTGATTCTGACCTCATGGCACCTGAGGACAAGAAAGCACAAGCGGTTTTTCAGGGCAACAGACCTATACACGTGGTTGTAGCTTGTATTTGTGTTTTTTTGCTGTTTTCAAAAGGATGAGTGTTCCACAGCGACAGTCAGCTCTAATACTGATGTTTGCATTTGCTCTCTGTTTCTCGCGGTCTTGTCTTTCAACCGTCCCTTCTTTCACTCCCACTCTGTGGTAGCATACCCGATTTTCCATCCTTGTCAACTTGCTTACCCTTTTCTTCCCCTCTTCTTCTTTCTGTCTTTCTCTTAGAAAAACAGCATTATATATTGGGAGTATATAAGTGTGCCAGCAGCAGAACCGCAGGTACTGTGCACGATACTCCGTGAGTAATTGGCGACCTCTTCGCTCCGATATAGCTTACAAAGTTACTACACTTTGTCTCTTCTATAGAAGGCGCGTTCTCTTTTTCTTTTTTGAAAAACAAACCCGATCTCTTTATCACGGCTATAACCGCATTAGTGTAGACATTGCTGTGAGTACAGAAGAACAAAAAAAACAGGATTAATAAAAAAAGCCGCCCGCATCTTCCCGCGGAGGGAACTCGAGTATATTCTTCGCACAGTGGTGGGGGTATCTTGTGAATGTTGCGTAATTGGATATGGTTTGGGATTCACCGGGTAGCGTTCATCGCTGGCAGGTGTGCGGGTCGAGGTGGGTAACGGTAACCATAGGTGCCGCTCATCGACGGTACGTGTCCACGTTCCAACGGGTTCTTACAGCATGCGCAGACAAAGTACGACTTGAACGGCTTCAGGAGTCTCTCGACGTCATCGTTG